CAACGCGGCTGGTTCGTCGTTAACAGTAATTCTGTCTGAGGGTAAAAGTTCTAGTTTAACGGCCTTTATACATTTCACAGAAGCCGTCATTTCGAATTTCTATCAAGCGACGCGGAGAGTTTGAATTTCAGTTTACCGTAATATACATATATATATATATATTTAGGTACACTAATTAATTACTTAGTTCCTTGTTGGAAATTAAGCCAATACGCAGCGACTCACACAATGCGGTTGCACGAGAATTATCGAAAATATTTTTAGCTCATCCCGTAGTGTACTGTTGTGTTTTACAAAAAAATATATGTATTATTTTGTTAGACAATCCCGGTTATGCATTTTTGGCGCACGAAAATACAATTTTATCCCCGGGCATGACAATGACCGTTACGGACATTAACATGCATAATGTTGTTTTATTAACTAAAATATAATTTTCCCGTAATTTCGATCTATATACCTATTTTGTTTATTGTTCCAAAATGAGTTCTTCGTTTCTCATTAAACATCACGTTATACCAGTCGTCCACACGGACTACACTGCAGTACTCATGCGAATCGCATGTGTAAACCGTAATTACACACACCTGGCTATTTTCTGTGAACCCCAGGTAAATATTTTTTTTTTTTACAATATATATTTCGAATTAAAATGAACATGGCCATCTCTGGAGATTCAAATAGGTACAAGGTTGGTGATATGCAAAATAATGTGGTCGGCATAGACTGGAATAAATTTACAAAAAAAAATAATCTGTACTATACGACAATTTTATAAACTAGGACGCATCGACCTACAACTTGTATTTTTTTTTTTTTTTTTGGTATACATTCAATACGTTTTATTACTGTAATAACATTAATATCTACTTAAAAATTATCGCGGTTTATTATTTTTTACATATTGATACTTTCAGAAGAGTTAGTTGAACGAAGATAGGTATTACTACTTTTAACCGGAAGAACCTGTTCACGTTACATAGTTCACTACATATAGACCAAGTAACCTGGCTTTCGATTTTCCATAATTATGGTACAAATAATCATACATTAGGTTACTTTTATAAAACTGAGCACAATTCTATATTATAAGCAGTAAGCTCTGACGAACACAAATACGATTTTATAATAAGTAAAATAAAATGATGTAACATTATTACGGTCGATGGATTAAATCGTAGCTGATACAATTTGATATGGACCGTTGTCTATAAGCGTTGCTGCTTTATCGAAAATAATCATAATTACTAGCCACTCGCTTGTTATTGAACTATTTAAAATCAGTACCAGCCATACTATTCAGTCTGATAATGAAACTCCCTATGTTACTTTTTAACATATAAATTCATTAATTTCATTGCTTTTAATGTAAATGCAAATTACTAGTCAATATTTATATTAGTGTTTTGTTAATAAAATGAACGAAAAGACAACAAACGAGAATGTACAAAGTATTATATTTCAGATTATTTGGATTCGCTCTATTGTTAAATTGTCGTGAACTATGTATTTGATCAGGGTATTTGGAATGAAAGCACAATGTTAATATGGAAGATAAATAATTAGAAGGATTAAATTAGTTGAGAAACAACCACATTAATAACTAAAAAGATTTCGATTAAAGGAGTAGTGATTATAAGAGGATAGCCGTTAAAAGAAAGCAAAAAGGATCAAATTAAAATAGTCGGAAATAATTGATAACGATACAAGGATGCTGTTGTTGGGAGTCTCTATAGTGACTTGATATATTCACTATAGGGAAGACCGGCTTAAAATTGAAAATAAAATTTATAACTTGAGTAATCATGCAAAAAAGTTGGAAGAAAATATGTGACAAAAGAAAATAACGCAAATCGTGAGTTCATTATCTATTTAACATGCCTGCCGTGGCTAGAAAATTCAGGTCCCCAACATCATCGGAAGGGTAATTTGTATAAATTCAACATTATATATTAGCGCGGGTGTTCAATTATACGCTTGGATGTACAAAATGTTCGTATTCACATAATCAATACATGAAAAATCGTAAAAATAATAATAATAATATTACATTCGTTGGACATGTTTTACAATATTATTTCAAACATTAAAAACAAAAAACGTAACAAGGTATTTTTGTACACCGAAGGTGGTATTGATCCAACACAAGCCTTTTGAATTAAGAACCCTCGTATATTCTACGTTTACATTGTAAGCAAATTATTGATTATAGATTATGACTTGAACTATTGTAGTGCATTTGTGCATTTATCCCTTATGCCTTTCTTCGAAGGAATCGTTTACGTAAAGCCATTTATTAAAAATGAATGGCTTCGTCGTGTCACCGCTGCGTTGTTCCCAGCATAGCCCATGTATAGACATTATACTTGCTATTTGACTCATACTAAAGTAACAAAAGGTAAAAACTCAATACTTGAAATTGTATGAAAAGCTCAGTATTAGAGAAAAAAAATGTAGAGAGCTTCAGGCTTGATTACGGTATTAATTTCCTCTATTCAGAGTTCAGACCAACAGTGAACATCGTAATCATTAAAACAGCAATTGATACTTTGTCGCTATATCAACTTGATAGAAGATGATATTGTTTTGAAAAATGCAATGTATGACAAGCAATAAAACAAGAATCTCCAAACTATATTACGATGAATGAAGAGTAGTTCAGTGAACGTTTAAATTATAGTCACTGATATAATTAAACCTATCAACCATCAATGCGTAACCTTTTATAAAAAGTAGAGCAAAATATTACAGGGTGATAGTAATTAATAACATACGATGAATTGACTGTGTACGTCGTCGGTGACAACGGTTTGGGGTGCGGCTTAAGGTACGTCTTATCGATAAAACGAATTTTTTGAAACTATGAACTTTCAAGCGTAGAAAACAAAAATAGGTTTTCTTCCCAACAGGACGTCGCTGCAAGTGATTCAAAAGGGTAAGATAATATTAATATAACTGCTGAACCCGTTTAATCAGGTTTCCATCAGATTATTTTCGGGCTATGTACTCAAACATATTAACAGCCCGAACAATCGATTCTCTTTTTTGTAGAAGCCATCGGCTGAGAGTATCATCCAGTTGACGGACTCTGAGGGAGACGACAAATGCCTCGCGTTGTTGTTTCCAAGTAAATTTAAATACATCTCGATACGGTTCGTTACCGTCGCGTTGGCAGCATTACAAATTTCCATATTTTTAAACCTTATAAATATAATTTTGTAATCCTTTTTTTCCCCTCCTCCTTTACCTAAACTCACGTTACCTAGGAAAGAATAATTTACTAGTCGATTGTATTTACCAGTCAGATTTGGAACAATTATTGAACTGAATGTTTTTGTGTATCGTTTTTTTTTTTTGTTAATATTATAATTCATGTAGACCAATTTTGTGTTGCTGCAGAAGGTATAATAAAATATTTAAAAACAATAATCACGAATTTACATACTATATCTATAATCTATTGTATATAACATACACAATTTGAATATTATCGCATTTCAAATTATATAAAGTGATACAACCAGAGAGGGTTTGCGAATAAGTGCTATAGTTATAGACCTTCGGTGTTTGCAACATTTAAATTATAATTGGGAATAAAAAGTTTACTTTACTTCTAACGCTTAAGATAATCAATAATCTTAAGTACTATACATGTTAAAATAATTACAAATATATTATTAGCTATAAAATTTAGAATTAGAATGAATCTCTGTCTCCTATACCTATTTATATATTATGTTATTGTAATATATTAATATGTCATTATATAACAAGAATTCAAAATTATGCTATTTATGTAAGTTTCTTTTTAATGTACAAAAGTTTAATACGTTTTCTGTATTTGAAGATTGTAGTTTAAAAACATAGATCGTAACTTAAAACAAAAATAGTGAACGTTAATCTTTCATATCGTATTGAAAGTAACTATAAAAAAAATTACCAAAAAGTATTATTTTGAATGGTACTCAAGAATGAAGAGTGTATTCTGCTGCCAAACATACATCGTGTATGTGTATTAGCCTACAGAATCACGTGTTTGAACGTTGAATGAAACGTAACCGGTATTTTTACTATTGGTTAATATTATAAAAAACAAAACGTGCTCCACCACTATGACGAAGTTCAAACAACTTTTGACTGGGTCCTAGTAAAATAATTTAAGAACATGAAACATATTATTATAATAAACTTGAACAACGGTTTATCGGACTAAAGACATTCGGCTTACAACGGATATTGGACTCATTATTATTATTGTTGTTGGATTATAAATGTATGCGAGTGTGCATGTCTATAATTCGCGGGTCACGGTCACCACCATCGCCATACCGTTTTGTTGATATAGTAGTATTTCATATGTACATACATGTATATATTATAATAATAACAATTATGCGTAATGAGAAGTGTGGCGATGCCGGCCGTACCGGCGACTGGACCACCACAAATCGATATGCGGTAGGGTAGTAGTAAAATGTCGCGGTCGACACTTTTTTTTCGATCCAAGTTTATTCATAATCGTTTCCGGTAATCCTCTCTTGGTCTAAGTATACATCGTAGATCAGCTGTTATAGACGGTCACTTCCGATGAGAGTTGGTAAAAAAAAAACCCCGGGTGTGTGTTTGGTATATACCGAAAAATATGGGTTCTATAGGGTTTATGCATACCGCATGAACGTAACTGGGTTGGGCTTATTTGAAAGAAATCCGGTTATTGCCAACTCTGACTCCGATTGGTTACATGACAGGTACGGAGGGCAGGGATGGGCAAGGGTTAAGGAGGGCTTTTATAAGAAGTCAAAACTCCAAACCGGTAATCATATAGGTTCATATTAGTTTATTGGAAATTGACACTCGGTAACGGGTATACGACGTTGGGGGTAGTACTTTTTTAGATATCAACATTAGGGCCGGCCACAGTGTATGCAAATGTAGCATGTGTCCAACCGGTACACTAGTATTGTACTCCGGTGATAACGATAACAGAGCCGTCAACTCACCCTGGGTCGTTGGGCACTTCGGCGGCGGCTACCGTCACTGCTTCCTGGTTTTGCGATTCCATGGTGTCTTCCGGTTACTCCTGTGGTAGTCGACTTTGCTTGCGATGCAAACGATTCACAAACGCGATTGATCGATTCGCCTGGGATACGATTTTTAAACGAAAACTGTCAATACCCAATATAATTTACGTACGAGTAAAGTTCCGTGTGTTATTATCAAAAAGACGCGCGTGTGTGTAACGTGTTGAAAAAAACACAATACACAAAATAACACAATTGTGTTTATTCGAAACTGTAAACCGCGAAGAAAACGCCACACACAAGAACGGCCGCAATACGATTTTCTTAATTATTCGCCTTTTTTTTTTCTTTACCTAAACTTTCTGAACGTACCGGCGACAACCCGTTATCCCGTCGCTATTTATTTGTATTTAATTATTACTCTCGTTTAGAACCAATATCTAAATAAATAGATACATATAATTTAAAAAACAAATTTTCAAAGTTTATAATATATATAATATATACATGCGCATATATATATATATATATATATATATATATATATATGTATAATTTTTTAATTGTTTCTGCAAACTACGACTAACCACTACTGGTGGGAGGTGTGCTTTTTTCACGCACACGATATGCTCCCGAGCGATCGCGCTAAACGGATATGTTCGACTGAACGATGCGGCGAGTGACTGGGCCCGCCGCCGCCGCTGGTTGCCGCGCAATGTCAATGGGACGGGTCGGGGAGGAGGGTGGGGGCGGCGGCAGTTACGGTGGTGGTGGTGGTGGTGAGAGCGGGGGTGCCGGCGTGCGTGTGTGTGTGTGTGCGCGCGCGCGCGCCCGTACGGCGGCGGCGGCGGATGCGTTCGCACAGGAAGCACAGTGGCGAGCGCGTGCGCCCGACCCACAGCCGGAACCGCCGCCGCCGCCACTTTTCAGACGCTAACGGCCAGCGGCGGCGGCTATCCTAATGAGTATGTGACCGAAACGGCACGCTATATAGTCGATATTATCTACGGCAAGTCATGCAACCCTATCTGCCCACAACGTCTCAGACGGTATGTGTTGTCCAATAACTTCACCCTCAGAAAGTGTCGACTTCACCGATACAATCCGGACTTGTGCCGCGGTTAAGTTCACAGAAAAACTAACACCGAGTACGGGTCCGAGATAGTAGCGCAGTAGCAGTGGGGTAGAGCTTCCCGAAGTATTTCGAAGATTAAACCAACAGAACTCCTTCAAGGCGTCTCCCCAAAAATTTAGCACTCTCAGTATAAATACTACATATAGATACTTAATTTTTTTACTACAAAGATTTGAAAAAAAAGTTTAATTTTAAGGTGAAAATTATGTCATTTTAAATATGACTTCTGGTTTACTGTATAACGAAATCGGTTATTATGGACCAGACACATCATTGTAAAAACAATATCTTCTCAGCTCCACATTGAAACTCAAATATTTTCAAACTAAACCGTATCGAATAGCTAATGGAACGCAATATAGTAAAAAAAACAATATAAACATATTTTTAATTATTAACAAATATTATTAAGGTGCCCCAACACTAGCATTTATTAAGGCGTATTGTATAGGCAATTTTCACTAAATAATAGTAAATATATTATAGTATATATATATATTATAATAACACAGAAAAAAAGATCTATTTTGATTATTATGTTTATTTTTTTTTTCAACTTTTATAACGCATGTTGGCTCTATGTTTGTATTAAAACATGTTTCTACTTCGAACAGTTCGTTGCTACAAGTAATCCAATATTTCAAGTTTTGATAAATATTTAAAGTATCGATCGTTGCACAATTTTAAAATTACTTTTAGTTAATTAATAATTTTTATGTAAAAAATTTCAATTTTCCTAATGATTTGTATAATATTATTGAAAACAAAAATTAAAAATGTACTTAGATAGATACATCAAGCAAGTATTCAAAAGTATAGATCTTTTTCAAAATCATTGGATTGCGCGTTTCAGAGTACAGTTAAAATTAGAGTGAATTGTTTTTCGACCAAAATTACCCAGGTGTAGAGGCCATTTAGGTAAAAACTAGAATAATAATACCAATATATATATTTTTAAAAAAAAACATGTTTTAGTTTTTACTTATTTTGTTTAAATAAAAACTATAAAAAAATACACAGTAGGTATAGAATATCGATGTGGATAATTTGTTTTAATGTACAAATAGATAGTAGGAAAATTGAAAGTATTAACAAAATATTTGAATCAGTCGAATAATACATTATAATTCAAAAATAATCCAACTAAAGTCCTTAATAATAAATGATTTGTTATAGTAAATTAAAATGTATTTAAAAAAAAATCATTATTTGCAACCCAGAAAATGTTCCATGAACTCTCATTATAATTAATTTTAATACAATTTAAATGTTTTTGTATAATAATAATTGCTGTATTACGCTATACAACGTAAGAGATTTTTGTTTTAAATTACTACACTTAATAAAAACTAAAAACTCTTAATTGTTTTTGAGTATTTGGCGAATTTCAAATAAAATAATAATAACTGATCGGCAATTAGTAGTGAAAAAATACTTCTTAAATTATAAATATTTTAATTGCTCTAATAGGACGTACTAGCATGGTGTTTCTTAAATATTTGGAGTGAATACAAATATTATAAATTATGTTTTACTGAATCGATCTTCCCACCTATATTTGAAAACTACTTGAGTTTAATACAGTGGTACTCAAATAATGTCCACGATATTTCGATGGCTCCCAAATTATTAATTTCCCACTACGGTATACGCAAATCCAAGACACATAGTTTAAATACATCTGATTTAATGAATAGTTACTTAAAATAGGTAATTCTTTTTACTCTTAAGGTCTGTTGACCATTGAACAATCTTACCATACACTAAATTCTTCAATTCCCCCAGTCAGCTGCTCGCACTTTCCAGTGTAGTTTTACCTTCAGGCATTCCACGTCTTTATTCAATACGTCTTCCCATCTCAAACGAGGCCTTTCAAGAAGTGTTCTTCCTACTGGATTTTATTCCATTGCCATGCTAAAAAATAGGTTTTGACTTGACACCAAACGTGACCAGTCCACTGTAATAATGACTGTGTTCAATACGTTTTATTTCTGGAAGATTGTCTCTAGCTCATATTTTTCCTTACTATCCACTCACCGATCTCCTCATTCTTCATTGGTCCAAATATTTTCCAAATGTTTTCCTTAAGATTTTCTTCCCAATAACGTTTACTTTCCTTTCCTACATTTTAACGGCCTCTTTTGCGTACCATACATAATTACTGGATATAAGAGTGTAATATATCATTATTTCTTTGTTTCTTTCGACACAGAATTTTCAAACCTATTACTTAATATATTTGTGAGTCCATAGAAACATTTTTTTCCTGACAAAATTCTTGACACTAATTTCTTATCAATCTCATTTTTTTTTTTATTATTGAACATAAGTATTTAAATGGTTTGGACTGCTGTATTCGTAATTTTCCACTTTTAAGTTAGGAAACATTTTTACACCTCTTGATGAATAAGTATTCTGTTTTATCTTCTTTTACATGTAGCCCAATTTTTTTCGCCACTTTTGAATAAAAATAATTGTGTGATTTGTCATTTAGGATACATCGTCCGCATATGGCAACACCGCCATGGATGACTCTTGAAATTCTGGTCTGGTATTAATTTATCTTATTGTACTTTCTTTACAAAAAAATATTATTTCAAATAAATTTTTTAATACACTTTCATAAAGATCACCTTATCATATATAAATTATTCAATACTTATTATTGTGCATTATCTTCATTAAAAATTAATTTACGCAAGTATGAACAATTTATGATTAGAGTTCAAATAGTGATAATTTTATCACATTTTAGATAATTCTAAAACTAATTGTTTTTTGGTCATATATTATGTTCATATGCCATATCGTATATCTTGTTTAAATAAATAACAAACATTTTAATCCTAAAAAAGATACCTAATATATTGTTATGTATGTATTACTTTTTTATCAGTGGTCACAAAATTATTAAACGTACACAAATTATTGTGTATTATTACTAAAGTTATTGTTTGTACATAGATATATTTTCAAAGGCATAATATAGTATAATATTATCCAAACAACTAAATATATTATTGATTAAATGACAGCGTTTACGATCCATCATTCGAATATAGGAATACTAATAAAAAAACAACCATGATTTTAAACTTGTAAAAGACATTTTGACATCCACATTTGAATGTGAATATGATAGAATTTATGAGTGTTAAGTGCTTTTTATAAACTTTCATACTTTTTTTTGCATTCTCAAAAAAGACTATGTTTTAGTAATAACCAAGCATACAATGCAAATAAAGAACATTTTTTATTAGTTCATGTTTACATAAAACACATTGCAAAGGAAAAAGCATGGTGTATAGTAAACTTTTAACGTTGTAACAATATTATATTATTATATATTTATATGAATATAATTATTTTAATTTACCTATTCTAATTAAATCTGCATAAATAATAAACCACTATATTTTTTTAAAGCTAAGGTGGTAAGTCGTATTACATAGTTAAAATGTAATCTATATATATATATAATATTGTGTATTATATATCTAATTTAACTTGAGCTAGCTATGCAATTTTATTTTATAATAAACATTAGTTTTTAAGATCCTTATTGCATAATGTGCACTAGGCTGTCTATGTAACGCCTGATATTATGCATTAACTACAGTATCTAATAATTTTATTTTAAAAAGGGTTTTCTCTGGTGTACATTTTTTATTTTTAATAGAGCTCAGCTTGAAATGTTAATTTTTTAATTAAAATAACTATGTAATACTTTTATAGCTGATAAGCAGTTTCTGAATTTATAAAAATAAAAGTTTAGGCGAGAGATATAATTTACAAGTAAGTTTACATATTTTTGTAAAAAAAACTCTACATAGATAATTATTAAACTTTTTTAGCTACCCAAAATGAATACAAAAATATACATAACGTCCGTAGAGGCGCCAGGATATTGAAAGCAAGAGGGCACGACGAAAGTCTGTAATAATAATATTCCAGCAAAGCATATAACTCTAGTAGTAATAGTGGTAGTAAGTGAGTCAGTATGGTCCAGTGTTCACAAATAAAAGTACAAATATCCATAAAAGTTTACCTAGTTACAATAATGGGCTTAAAAATGTATTTTTAGTATTAGGGTAGAAACAATTAGGGTTGATCGTCTGTCCATAAAAATGTATTGCCATAGTTACCCGTACATCGTAGTTAATAATAAATTGAAGATATTTTCACTACTTGTTGACCGTTACTAACACATAGCAACCTGGAAACTGACAACGGTCAAAGTATAATATTCTCCTTTTTTTCTTAAGAGGACGCTGCCCAGGCCATTTCTAAGAAGTAAAGTAAAGGAATTTTTTCGAAAAATCTTAAATTAGAGTTTGAACTATATTGTATACTTATAAATACAGTAATGAGGATACTTTGTTAATTGCCATTATTTTGTCAGACTATCACAGTCATTTCTATAGGATAAATTAAAAAAAATTCCCATCAAAACTGCTTTGCTAGGGACAAGTATGTGAGGCCAGTATTAACAGTAAATTTACCAAATTATCACAATGTATAGAAAAGAACTTTATCCATGGGGTAGCGTTTTCATTTTTTCGACTTAATATTTTTTTATAGACAAATTAAAAAAGGAAAAAATAATGAATATTTACAAATGAATAATTTTGATTGTGCTTAAGTTATCAAAAAAATAAAAACGCTACCTCGTAGATAAAGTTCTTCTCTATCCATTGTAAAAATTGTATACGGCTACTCTAAATACCGCCCTCACATTTTTGTCTCCCGCAAAACCATTTTTTGTTGATAAATTATTACGGGTGGGTAGCGTCCTCTTAATAAATAGATAGTTTGACTACATATTTTTGAGAAAATGTTATATGTTATAGTTTTATTCTAGATCTACCTTATAAAACAATTCTATCCCTTCTAGAGGAAAGGGTTTATGCTATTTTTTTGGTTTCTCAATGTTTTCGGTGGTACTATGTTTAAAGAACATTCCATACAAATTTAGAACTAATTCGACTATTTTAAAGAAACTACATAGTACATTCTAAACTAGTATAATAAAAATCAAGTTACGTCTTGAACTCTTAACCAGTGTAGTTTAAAACAAGCACAGTTTAAGTAAGTGCAGTCCAAGCTAGTACAGTATAAACCGAGCTGAATTATAAATTAGCGTAGTGGTTGAAATGGGGTATTTAATTTGAAACATTTTGGTGCGAATCTGAGTATAGTATATCCTAGTACAGTGTAAGGCAGTACAGTCCAAATGCATAACGCTTAAACCATTATGAGTTGGGTTGCAGGTATTGTTGGTTATGAGGTTGGAGATGGAGTTAAAAATAGAGCTGGAAGTGAAGCTAGAATTGGAGTTGGAGGAGGAATTGGAGATGTTATTTCAATAATTACAAGTAGCTCATTACCATTATAACCCACACAAAACAGGTAAAAGTTATTAAATGTACTTTATAAATATTTTTTTGTGGGGTTTGAATGTATGAATATTCCCAACCCCCGAAATCCGAATAAATAATTTATATGCTAATCCCTTATCCTGGGATGTAAAAACTGTAAGTATTATATTTGTTTGACAAAAAAAAACAATAATTGTCTTTACTCTTTACTTGGTATTCAACTTTTTAACGTAATTTTTTATGACCCACCCAGAGTTGCGCGCTTTTTATTCGAATAACGATTAACAAATAATTTTGTTATTCGACCAAATCTAAGATGATTTATTCGAATAATTGTTTTTTATTCGACAAAATCTTAAATGATTTATTTACTCTTGCCAGAAGAGGTCTCTCGATTAGCTAAAATTCTTAAATAAATACCACAACAACAATATATATAATTATATATTATATGTATAATAATATGTAACGTTATGGAACCGTGATGGTAGTTTGTAGAGGCTAGAGCTGGTCCAGCAGGGTGACACAACGCGTGTCGACACACAATCGCTACACACAGTAGACAAAACAAAAAAAACCACCGTGATGGACATAGTTTGTAAGCGAACCGGATTGTGTCAAACGTAACCAAAACGATAACAACGGTGACGAGGAGTGGTGATCGTGATTAGTGACTAGAGAGCCTATATAGCTTATATAGTCTACATAACCTGTATAGGCTCTCTTAATTATTAGAAACATTGTACGGGCGCTGAACGACCGTTATTTATTTGTATTTTAAATTTGCGAGGCTAGTTGTCGGCCAATGAGATGTCGCTTTATACGCTGCATTTTTTGTGAAAAAAAATTAAACGGCAGCCATTAAGAGAGTTAAAAGACAAATCACACATGACACACCGAAAAACTTTCATTATTTTCTTACCATGTTCGTGAACCGACTACCTTTTATTTTTTGTTAAATGCAAGCCTTAAAAACATATTTCTCGTTAAAATCAATCACAATTTTTCGATAACAATACACAATTTGATGCCATAAAAAAATTCGCTTCCAACATAACCTTAGTAAAGTTGCCAAAGAACTCGTACATATCATATCCTTACAGAATTGAAATCGGACCATCCTAAATAGTCAACATTTTGTCTGACTATTTTGTCTAAAACGTCAAAAAACATACCATATGCAATCACCTTTATTAAGCTTTGAAAACTCCATAATATGAATAAGTTGTATCGAAAGCTTAAATCAATTAAGAACAAAGGCTCTAGTGATGGGAATCCGAAAATCCGGATTTTTCAAAAAAACGCTTTTTAAGTCATTTGAAAATCATATAATTGTTAAATACTATTACAATATAAAGATGTGTACCTAAGTAAAATTTGTTGATAACAATTTTTAAAAAAAACTCTTAACTTTGTCTATAAAATGCTTTCGGATTTCGGATTCCAGATTTTCGGATTTTAACAAATCCGAAATTCAAAAGCAGTTTATCTCTTTGGTGTTTTGTTTTATTTTCACATATTTATCAAAAAAATGTTACTTAGATATAGAGCTTTATAATGTAAAATTATTTAACACTTATATGATTTTTAAGTAGCTTAAATAGCGTTTTTTTGTGAAAATCCTGATTTTCCGATTCCCATCACTTATAGGCTCTCTTAATTATTAGAAACATTGTACGGGCGCTGAACGACCGTTATTTATTTGGTCGGCCAATGAAATGCCGCCTTACACGCTGCATTTTTTGTGAAAAAAAAATCAAACGGCAGCCACTAAGAGAGTTAAAATTTGCCTAGGATACGGAGTTAGAGGTTAATAACAATTTCCCGAAATATTTTTGACAGTTTTAATATAATATGTCAAATAATTAGAAGAATTGTTTACACATCAATAAAAACGGTCGAATAATTTTGTTATATTTTTAATCGTAGGTCATGTATCATCATTGTGATTTGCTTTGCAATTACGTCAAACCATTTTTTACGCCCAAAAAATTAATAAAAAAATATTTTTGCAATTTTTGGCTCTTGCAACCATTTTGATATTTTTGTAAAGTGGATAGATGAAAAGTTCGACTTTTTTAATAAAAAATATGTAAATTTTAGAGTGGGATGAGAATTATAACAAATCAAAAATGGCTTGACGAACGTCGAAAACCCCCGCTGATCTAGAACAGCCCGCATCAGCAGGGGTTTCTATATTTTCACTTGGTTATAATTCCCATCTCACTAAAATCTTTTTTTAATGGTTTTTTTTTTGGGGGGGGGGGGGTAAAAAAGAAAAATTACACTTTGAGTGTAGTAAATTTCTAGGTTGCTATGTATGAGTAAGTCAACAGTCTACAGGGATCCAAAAATATTTTCATAATATTGTTAATATTATGATACATGGTGAACTATAAATTATTATATTTTATGGTTAATGGTGAAATAAAATGATTACAATTTGTTACACTTTTGTAGAATGCTAATATACACATTATTGGTATTTTAAACAAAATAATTTTTTTGGAATTCTGTTAATTTCTGTAATCTTTGATTTGTGTTCAATACTTAAAAAAGGTAGACCAAAATAGACAAGATGTCCCTTTTCCGTTTCCGCCTCACACATGAAAATTCGTTAGATAGTATAACTTATGTACGCCACTTTAGAAGTACGCATCTATTATTTTCTAAATAAATTACTTCTAGCAAAAAAAGTTTATATTATTATTTTTGGTTTGTCAATGTTTTCTATACAACTAAAGAATTTCTTACACAAATTCCGAACAATTTAGACTTTTTTCAAAAAGTTGTAGTCTTAAGTTAAAAAATATTCTAACTTTTTTAGTGTTTTTCTCGATTTCATAGAAGAAGGGGGAACTTTTTAAATTGCTGGATACTATAGAAGTTAGTTTTAAATATTTATAGTTAAGACTTGAGAAACTTAAAGATTTCATAAAGACAAGTCAAAAGGTGAGATAAAAGGTAAAAATAATAAAATAAAAGATTAATTTTATACCATAGTTAGTTTTTCATCTAATAAAATACAATTGTGTAATATCTGTACCTATATATATATATATATATTTATATTTATTACTAAAATGACTAAAACAAGTATTGTTTATCGTTATATGTGACTCCATCCATAGGAAAAGGTACCTCATCTTCCATTTTTCAAAATCGAGGTTGAATTTTGTTGTTGACGATTAGCTGCTGATTACAATGATCACAGTGATATCTCGATCTGTTCAAAAGTTATGAAGTTTTTAAGTTGGAACTTCTAAATAGTTAGTCAGTAAAAAGTTAGTTTTGGCTCTCCTGAACAATTTGCTCTGAGAAGATAAGGTACCTTTTTCCATGGAATATTGTTATAACAAAAATGTAGGTAATCATATTCTCGTGACATTATATGCTATAAATTTTAGTGCATTTCTAATCAAAAACAATTACACAACAAAAATATAAATAAGATTATAATAATAAATTATGTATCGTAATTGATATACGTATACTTATGAACAAATCATAAATACATTTTTTTTTTTACAGTAACTAAAAAATACAGCTTAAAATGTCCGTACATTTGTAGTTTAATTAAACAGTGAATTAACAAACCAGCAGAAAAATGACTAGAGTGGATCGTAATAAATTATAATTAAAAACAAATTTACATCCCAAACTGTGTGACGTTATTTCTGGATTGAATACCATTGCCGCTGTTGGGCATAAAATTGTTTTCTGCAGCCAACAGCGCGGTAAGTGTGGAATGTGTGGTGGCCAAACCTGTGTTATTGTTTGACGATGAATGTGAAATTTCATTGTGTTGAGGCAATCTTTCACCATACTCGAGCATGTTTAACGCTTCTGCCAGCGTCGTAGATGTTCCTATAATTATTATTATAATATTAATTCAACAATCAATTATAAACAAAAACAATATTTTTTATATTTTTAATTGTTCCCTCATCTTTAATTATGAGAAAAGTAATATATAAAAAAGTAAATGTGAATAAATGCTGGAGATCTTTAGAAACATAGTAGTCTTCAATATAATTTACAATAAATTTTAAGTACCTACTTCAAAAATTAAATTGTAATCCCAAACCTATTAACGGTTAATATAATTAGGAAAAAATTTAATTATTTTATTATCAATGGTCTGTCAAAAATAAATTAAGTAATTAAAATGAATAACATACCTGATATAATTATACTGCTTGATTCTGAATGACCTGATGATTGCCTGATAGATGGATTAGCATTTTCGTTTAAAGTTATACTACAAGCCTAAAATATTAAAATACAAAATAATATAGTAAAAGAAAAAGAAAAAATGTTTAGTAATTACCGTTTGTTCTTCAATTTCAGTATTTTCCATTTTAACAACAATTTGCTGTGGTGGAGACTGAATGTCTGCAGGTTTCTTCAAAATCATTGTTGAACGTACTTTATTCAACATGAACTCTGGTAATTCAAAGCCCCTAAGGTCATGAGAATTATTCCTAAAAATTGTATTGGTTATTTTTTCTTTCATTGACACGAAAGAAATGTTAATGCTATTAAAACTCATAATACACTGCACGCAATATTAATATTATTTTAAGTCAAACTATATAAGAAGTACATACTTGTATGTCCTAATTGTATACATAATTTTTTTTGAAAAAACCTAACCAAAATATAAAATTAAAAAAGGGTAATTATATTTATATAACGGTATAATTTTAATGAAATGATTAATTTTATATTAAATTAACCCAACATTAAATTTAGCTACTTTCATGAACAACTGTAGTGTTTTAACAGTAGGTATTATATTGTAGTACTGTAGTGTTTTAACATTATGACTTATATTGTTTATGTATATTTTTAAATTAACTTTGGTGCAACAAGTTAAACATGTTACTAACTTGTGATTGCCATTGTTTAATAAGTACTGTACATCTTCCAAAAGCAGTAAAGATACAGAATTTGATGGCGAAGGTGGTGGCAAATTAAATAACTTTTGCTTTATTAACCAATCGCGGTCTTCTAAGTCGATAGTATATTGAAATAGTTCAGGATGTTTGTTACAGACACGTCCACCTTTCTACATTAGTAAAAACAATGTGTTAAATAATCAGGAAAATATACCTATATAAAACAATTATTGTATTCTAATTAAATAACTATTGTTGTATATTCAGTAATCAAATACAGACATACCAGTTTTTAATATATTTTATGACCTTTTTATTGCGTACCTTAATTGTTCTTGTAGCTAAAACAAAAAGTGTTTGGGAATGAATTTTTGAAGGATCCCAAGCCGAATGAAATCTTTGATATTTTGCCAAAGGAGGTTGCGTAGACTTTTGTTCTAAGGTAGGAGAAAGATTGTCTTCGAGTTCTTGTTCTTTACGTTTCAATGGAGATCGATCCTATGAGATATGTCAAAAAGTTTTATATGTATAAACTAATATTTTCTTAGAAGCTATTTTTTATTTTATACCCTTTAGACATTAAAAAAAAAGAAAAAGAACAAAACTTATGACATAATTTGGAAATACAAGTAAAATATAATTTGATTTCTATATTTAATGGGTATTATATTAAATATAGCCTTCAAAATTCTTAGCCCTGTTCACCGATTCAACGTTCTAAACCCAGAACTGTAACCTGAACAAGTTACAGCTAAATGGTGCAACCTCACTCCATGGAATTGTGCATTTAGGCCTGAATGCAAACAAACTTAAATTTTATTCACACAATTGTACCAAACAAACAAATAAGTACAATCAGCGCGAACTAAAAAAAAACAGTCACTGTGCTGTTTGTTTGCTTTTGCAAGCGTTCGATAATTGGTAGCCATCAAAGGATTTAATATTAACAGACATCAATATACGAAGCCAAAATAATGTAACGGTGTAGAAAAGTCTTTAGATAACATTTATTCGCATTCAGGCATTAAATACACCTTAATGTCGGTATTTTGACAAACTTTTGATGTGTTTTAATGAAACAGTTGGCTGTAACATGGTTAGGTTGTAGTTTAGAGTTCCCTTAATACATTATTTTTTGGTTCCCGTATCGTATCCCCACTTTCTACGTAAGTGGGGATACGATACGGGAACCGTAGACTGCGACTGTGGAAGTGAACAAACAGAACAACATATTCTAGTGTGCCCCCTAAACCCAGTGCCATGCACACCTGAAGATCTGGCGAATGCAACGGACGCGGCTATACAAGTAGCCAATCAATGGAGTAAAAAAGGATTATAACAAAACAAAGCATCTATTTTATAGCCTGGACACGATAAGAAGAAGAAGAAGAAGAAGAATTATTTTTTGTGTAACAATCAAAATACTAGGAATGCAATAATACATATATAATTGTTTAACTTACATCGGAATGTGGTTTGGCGAATCGAGATTCAATTAGCATATCAGTAGTTTGTGCGGTATTGAACGGTGAGTTACTACCTGATAAAGGCGGGTTAGAATACATGAGTTTCGCTTCATCTAACATAGTCCGGCAAACTTCTCTTACATGATCTTCAGTCATACTGTTTGAGCCCAAATTGTTTTTGACGTTGTCAATTGCCATTCCAAAATATGTCTAGTAAGACAGATTACAATTAACACTAATTAGTATTATTTTTATACACTTTAACAAATTTTTTTTTTTACAGTTAGATATTTCCTAATGATATCATCAATTTCTTTATTGATCGAGCTCTGCAAATTTTGTCTCAGCAAATCTAAAGATTTGGCAGCATTGACCAAATTTTTTGCTCTCATCTTAGATGCTTTTGTAGACACTTTATCATTACCATTAGCCACGTCAATTATATTAGCTAGTGTTACTTGACGCATATTAAACGTGTTTTTCTAAAAAAGAAAACATTAAATCATTTAATAAAACAACTACAATATTCAAAGTTGATTATAAAAACATACCCATGGTACAAAGTTGTCACTTGTAATCACTTCTAAATCAAACACGGGTGCTTGTCGCACAAGGGGTACTGGTTTCGAAGCTCTTTGAATATCTGTCGATTGTGGTGGAATTATATGTATTTGAGGATCATCATGCTTAATAGGAATCTTATGGACTACCATATCGTTTAAAGACAATAGAGTTTGCAATAACTTTATTAGATTAAAATTACAAAGAAATTCATTGATCAAAAATCCAATGACCTATGTACAGATTGAAGCTCCAGTTTTCACTTAACATAACGCGATTTTACCATAACTAAACTAAACTCTATTGTAATTTACTTTTTTTCGAGTTTAGTCTGACGAGACGAGCATAATCTGAAGAAAATTTTAAAGACACTATTTATTGACTACAGTCTACACTCTAAAATAAATAATATTACTTGGTTATTGCTTTATCAAAGTTTTTTTTCTCGTAATACTGATAACACCATATAATCAATAATCGCCCAAAAAAATATAAAGACCAAAAAAATTTTTGTTTAAAAAAAAATGATTTAAACCTTCATTTTTTTTTAACTTTACGTAAACTAGTTATTTTACTTACGTAAAGCATTATGTTTAACGCAGTTATAATTCCTCTCGAGTACCTATAATAGTAGCTTAATATTTTTTAATGTCAAAACTACAGTTTCTGTTTCTCAGCCTGTCCACACTGACTTATTGATTTGTTTTATCATTGTTTAAAAATCATTATCACATCATTTTAACTCTTTTGCGGCAATTACAGAAGAAGTATTTAAACAATACACGACTATTTAAATTTATTTATTCATTGTAAGTGTTAAGTTAGTTATAAATTATATTATACATCAAGAAAACTCATTCTTTTTACTTTATTATGGATCAAGTTTTGGAAACGGTTAGGGACGACGATTTCGTTGAATATTATTTGTTCATTCGACCCGATGTGATTCCTAAAGATTCTGAAGAAAGCGGAAGACACACAAATGCCTTAAATGATAAAGTTTTAGAGCTTGTCGAAGAATTGTCCAACGAATATATATGGCACAAAGACCGATTTAATTTGATTCCCAGATTTTGCCCAGCAATCGAATTACGACAGTCGCTTTCACAGTATTCAAACAATGGTATTATAAATTTATATCCATATAACAGCCACTAGAGAACCTGTTCCTATTGTGTTTTTCTTTATTTAGAATTATTATCACCACATCTGTATGGTGTTACTCATTATGGAGAAAATATAGAAGACGAATGGTTCATTGTATACTTACTAAGAGAAATAACTAAAAAGTATCCAGAACTGATTGTCCGGTAAGTAAATCAGTTAATATTTATCCAAATAATATTGCTTATCGAAAAAAAATTTCAGTGTTATAGATTCGGATGGAGAATTTCTATTGATTGAAGCTGCCGAGTGTTTACCGAATTGGGCTAATCCCGAAAACTGTGATCAGAGGGTTGGTATTTACAACACATTGTTAACTAATAGAATTCAAACAATATTTTAATATTGAAAATTTATCAAGGTTTATATTAGTGAAGGCAATTTGCATATCATTCCATTATCTAATGAGTATAAAAAATCAATAACCATTACACAAGCTTTAGATCAAATTGTCAAGTATCCTACTGTCACTGTAGCCACATCAAAAGTAAATTCTGCCATATCATCTCGTATTGAAGGGTGAGTTTTGTCAATTAATTAAAACAAATGAAAGAACATTATGCTATAGGTAATTCCAATTTTTCAAAGAAAAAGTTGAATATGATTAAGTGTAAAAAGGGGTAAAAATTAAAATGGTTCACGGTATTTTTCCAGAATCGAAATTTCCTAATGACCTTTTTCTCTAATGTCCGTAAACCCGAAATCTTTTTTCCCGAATGCCTTTCTTCTGACAATTATTGTTCCCGTAATGGAAAATTTTTTTTTTTTTTTAAAAAGCGCAATATCAACAAAATTGTTCATCACACCATATATTGCTGATCTATTATCACACGATAGGTCACCGAGTATTTTGGCCCTCGCTTCGCTCCACTAACCTAAAAATATCCTAGGTTTGCAGGCTACAGTCTAGGAGGAGATCACAGGTTTAAAGTAAAGTCGGTTCAAAACGCACAATATTGTTTTGTAAAACATTTTCATTACATGCATCGGGCTTACGGACTTTCGGGAAAAATACCATTCAGGAGAAGGGTCATTCAGGAATTTCGATTCAGGATAAAGGTCGGGTACCATTAAAACACAAGATGATTTTTTTAGCTTAGATGAAAGAAAAACATATTTCTTCTACTATAGGATAAATTTCAATACTTTACCTAAAATTGTGTTCAAAAGAAGAATTAAATTTTGATTTATACTCATAGTAAGAATATTTTATTACAATTTTTTTTATTGTATACATTTTTAAAATCTGTTTTAAATAAATTGAATTAATATTATATATGAAATACTTATGATTAATTACATTCGTAAAATATATGGTGTAGTGTGTATGTATATGTACATATATGTATAGTTTTCTTGTTGCTGAAACTGTATGTGTTTTTTGTTAATATTTTCAGATATCCTGAAAAAATAAAAGAGAACCTTCATCGTTGCCATGCGTATATACCGTTGAGTGTTGCATATTTGTTGAAATATCAGTCTAGTTTAATTGCACCGGCTATTTTAGCATTTTGTCATAGAGACCCTTTAGATATACGAGCTTGCCGTTTAATGAAGTGATTTAATTAACTATAATTAGTATTAACCTTTACTAATTTTAAAAATATGGCTTGTAATTTTCTCAGAAATTTCCCTCCAAAGGAAAGAATAATGCGTAGTGTTACTATGACAAAATGTTTGTACGCAATGCTTGTACAACAAAAATATACTCCTGAAAGGAAAACCGGTTGGAATTTGGTAGAATCAACAGATCCTCAATATAAAGCTCAAATTTTAGGCATAAAAATAGTAAACCAATTTTTTTTTCTTTCGCTAAATATTTTTTAACGATAATATAATTATTACTTTCTTTTGTATTTAGGCTTGTGGATTTGAAATTTTAGCTTCTCAAGCAAAATCCACTACCAATGATAATCCTGTAGACTTGACGTACGACAAACGTTGGCATCAATATAAAATAGCATTAAAAGATAAAGGATATTTTAAAGTAAACCCATAATTTTATCAGTGAAAACTGCTTATCTGAATGTAATATATATTTCATTTTAGAATTTATATGAAGGTTCAAATGGATACAAGACTTTAGAAGAACAAGCTCGAGAGTACTATTTATCGAATGTAGATGAATATTTGTCTTCACCTTCAATCGGACAAAGGATAAAAACTATTTTAGACCGCATTACTGAAGATGAACTTGCCATTATAAAACAAGATATAAATGATCTCGAACCAGCCGATGATGAAAAGTGGTTAGATATTTCGCCATCAGAATTGGATCGTATTCTTGAACAAAAATTTGGATTGAGTAGCTCCCAACAATCATCTGCGTCTGATTTTGCATCATCCTTTACTGAAAAAATAAAAGGTTTTCTAAATCGGGCATCTGACATAAATGGTGCAGAATTTTCTAAAAATCATCAAAGGTTAGCACGGTTTTATATTTTATGTTACTTAAGAAAAAATAATTATACCCATTTGTTAGTGACGACTCTTCTGAATCTGAAAACGATGAAAACGCAGCCAGTGACAAACTAGCCAACATGCTTATGTGTGGACCAAATGTAATGCAACCAACAAATGACGATAAAGACTTAGTCGCTACTAGACATAAGAAAACCAAAAAAGGTTTACCCAACAAAAGTGTGAATTTCGAACCCGAAAAATATGAAGCTGCTCTTCGAAATATACTAGGTATCTTTTTACTTTTTTATTCAAACTCTTACGTATTATAATTTATAGTTAACTATGAAATGATTTTTTTAGATTTTAAAATACCAGATGACAATTGGGATGAATCGGATAGCTCTGAAATGGATTCGTATGGAAGTGACTGTGAAGATTTAATGCCCATCGGTCAATTAGGTGAGAATTTTTACATTATGGAGTGTAGAGCAGTTAAATAAATATCAAAGCCTTAAAAAAATTATAAGGTCGTAGGGATTAGAGAAACAATAGTTATAGTGATCACAAAAAGAGGATTCACATAACTCTAATTTATTTTGTATTAGTATAAAACTTATGTTAATAGTTTTATAATATATAAAAAATCTGAACTTTTTATACTGTTGGCCTTACAAATTGTCTTTTAATTAGTACAACAACATCAGTTCAGTGGTTTAAACATAAAATATTAAGAAAATTCTAAATTGATCTGTCAAGCTAAGCATCCACTAGGTCACCTGGCCAGCACGGCCTGGAGCAGACCAACCTCGACAAGTCACGGGAAAAATGGTGAGTGGCATTACACCAACTTCTTAGTCGACACATGTTCTTAATGCCACGCTGACCAACCGACTTAGTGGACGCTCAGCTTTAGAGTGCCTTACAGTTATAATTAAAATTTCAGTAAAATAATATGTATATATATTATTGGATATTAACTTGTACACAGAAAATCCGTCTGGTCCAAGTATTTCTAATTATATGGATCAAATGGACAAAGAACTTGCTTCCACGTCATTGGGTAGTAGTTTTATTAAAAAGTCACCTGGTAATATCAAACCAAAGGTAAGTAATTGCAAAAATTAAAATCTGTTGCTTTAAACATAGTAAATAATTTAAAACCTATAATTTACAGAAAACCGTGAGGATAGCTCCAACTGCAAAATGTGAAGATGATGACGATGATAATGATTATTCCGACGTTGAACATTTTGAACCTGTTGATATTGATGTAAATGCTTTTCAAAATATACTCCAGTCGTATCAAGAACAACTTGGCTTACCTGGACCAGCTGGTAATTTGTTAGGACCAGCCGGTCTAAATTTAGGACAAGGATCTCCAAAATAATCATTTGATTAATATTTTTTAAATATATGTATGTTTATTCTTTAATCTAGAATTTTTATTCGATTTTGTCAAACCTTAGTAATAATATTACAATAAAAATTTTAGTTATATATTATTATGTATTAACATGATTGCTATCTTTTTTAAAATAATAAATATTTTCTATAAAAATAAATAATGCATTATTAAAATATACACTTTTTATTAAAAATTAAAAATATTGTTTATACCAATTTTTAAATTTTCTTGAAGCATATATTTATATTGAAACTTACTTAAATAATATTTAAATAAGTTGCATAAGGAAATGGCATGTTTACATTATTATTTAGGTAGGATATAGTTTATTTTAAAGAAAAGTAAAAAATAAAAGATTAGTATGGAAGTGCTAGTCAGTTGTATGGACTTTCCTCAGTCTTTGGACTTGAGGAAAGTATAAATTGACTTATTGAGTAGATATGAAAACGCGAAGTTTATGATACTGATCGGATAATAAAATAATGATTAAATATTTTCTACTGGATAAAATATTGTTGTGAAAACTACCAAATTAACTCAGATTTGGGCATTATTTAGATAATTTTTTATCTAGATAATTACCTAAATCTAATTGTATTTATTCGAATGACCGTCAAATGGTTTCGTTTATACGAATGACAGTCGAATAATTTTTTTTATTCTAATGACTGACGAAAAACGTTGTTTATTCCAAACTAAATCATTAATTTTTTTGTTCTTAATTGATTTAAGCTTTCGATACAACTTATTCATATTATGGGGTTTTCAAAGCTTAATAAAGGGGATTGCATATGGTATGTTTTTTTGACGTTTTAGACAAAATAGTCAGACAAAATGTTGACTATTTAGGATGGTCCGATTTCAATTCTGTAAGGATATGATATGTACGAGTTCTTTGGCAACTTTACTAAGGTTATGTTGGAAGCGAATTTTTTTATGGCATCAAATTGTGTATTGTTATCGAAAAATTGTGATTGATTTTAACGAGAAATATGTTTTTAAGGCTTGCATTTAACGAAAAATAAAAGGTAGTCGGTTCACGAACATGGTAAGAAAATAATGAAAGTTTTTCGGTGTGTCATGTGTGATTTGTCTTTTAACTCTCTTAATGGCTGCCGTTTAATTTTTTTTCACAAAAAATGCAGCGTATAAAGCGACATCTCATTGGCCGACAACTAGCCTCGCAAATTTAAAATACAAATAAATAACGGTCGTTCAGCGCCCGTACAATGTTTCTAATAATTAAGAGAGCCTATACAGGTTATGTAGACTATATAAGCTATATAGGCTCTCTAGTCACTAATCACGATCACCACTCCTCGTCACCGTTGTTATCGTTTTGGTTACGTTTGACACAATCCGGTTCGCTTACAAACTATGTCCATCACGGTGGTTTTTTTTGTTTTGTCTACTGTGTGTAGCGATTGTGTGTCGACACGCGTAAGTCGAAGGTACGACCGACCGCCGTTGTGTCACCCTGGTGTACCATCGTCGCGCATGCCGTGAGCAATTCAATTGCCACCCTGCTGGACCAGCTCTAGCCTCTACAGGCTACCATCACGGTTCCATAACGTTACATATTATTATACATATAATATATAAATATATATATTGTTATTATAGTATTTATTTAAGAATTTTAGCTAAGCGAGAGACCTCTTCTGACAAGAGTAAATAAATCATCTAAGATTTTGTCGAATAAAAAAATTATTCGAATAAACCATCTTAGATATTGTCGAATAAAAAAAAATTATTCGAATAAATCATCTTTGATTTGGTCGAATAAAAACAATTATTCGAATAAATCATCTTAGATTTGGTCGAATAACAAAACTATTTTAATAAATTATTTGTTATTCGTTATTCGAATAAAAAGCGCCCAACTCTGTATATACTTGCACGCATAATATATATATATATATATATATATATAATATAATTATTAAGATTATTACCTTAAAATAAAATAATTAACTTTAGAAGACCAATTTAGACAGTAGATATGACATAGTAAGCACATAGAAATGGTCAAGATTAAATTATATTCTTTTAATCACTCTACTTGTTAATATAAAATATTAACAAGTAAAGTATAATTAGGTACCCTACTTGAAAACTATTCTTTGTTGGACTGCATTTATTAGTAAACATAACGAAAGGGAAAAAATAAAACATCGTTTATCAGCCGAGAGAGAAAGAGGAGGACAAAGATCATTAAAATATAAATATATTGATAAATTTAATTAATCTGAAGAAAAAAATTCCGATAAAAACTTCATAAAATAAGTAGGGAGCCTTTTAATCTTATTGTATTCTCTGCGCAGACCAACGCAGTATTAGTAATAATTACATTGTTATCGCAGCTGAACGATTACTTGTCTGAACAGAATAATCATGGAGTCTTCAATTATATTTAAAATTACATAAAGTGTACACATATTACATTTAACGACCAACTAAGGACTGTGGTTAGTTTTACTTTAGGTGCCTAGGTCCTGTTGTTTTCTATTAATCTTGCTTTTACACATGGACGAAATAGAAGTAGTGCATGAATTCGGTGCCATAGAGCAGATAGACTTCTTGGAGAGCACGAAAATGAAAAACATGGATCACCATTCCTCCAAACCTCTGGTCTACTGTGTCAACGAGAAGCCGCCTGTATGCCTAACGCTAATGCTAGCTATCCAAGTATGTTTTATTTATCCATTCAAATTGAATTATTGCAATTTAAAAGTTATGAATATTGACAATGTCTAAGTACCTTCGGGTATAATTAACAGGTATTGTAGTCAAGATTAAGAGTCTCGTAGTAGTATTTGGATCCTTTGCCAGGCATCACTTGGCTAAGTTGATATCTAGTTGCAACGACGACCGTTTGTTTTTTCAAGGCTTAATTTATGCTTTATGACATCAAAAAAGCATTTTAATAAAAAATACATATAAAGTGTAACCTATCTAATTTCTCCATGTAACACGAAATCAGATTTTTTTTTCAATGAAATGAAAAACCATACTGCAGATACTATGGATGATAATGTGATGGTCTCCCGTTTTCTTCCTCATCTCAACTTATTGTAATCGTAAAGATGGCTACCATTTTCGCTTACAAATGTTTGGCATATAGTTTTACCGATCTCCTTTATCTCCATCTACATACATTAATAGCTGCTGACCTTTTTCCAGTTCCTTTTAGTCACCTCTTAGTAGATTAAGATTTCTTAGACAAAGCAGAGAATCGCAATTTGCGAGCACGTTGATATAAATAGAAGGAGAAGCTATTAGCTCATTTTCCAGTGTTTTTACTTTTATAATTATTTCATTTGTATTCTAAAATATATATAAATAAATAACTAATACGAATACGCTATAGTTTTTAACGTTAAAATAATATTATTATGTTTTATAAATAAATATAGAACGTCGTGACAACAATAGCAGGCGCACTGGTCATAATCAATATTTTATCACCCAAACTTTGTATTTTGCCTGAAGATCCGGCTCAAGCTTACCTACTGTCCACCACCATTATGATGGCCGGCATAAGTACTTTGTTTCAAACCGTGTTAGGAGTGAGGTATTAAGTATAAAATACAAATGAGGCATATGGAACTAAAATAGCTTAACTCAGAAAATTTTAAATTGCATTTAATTGCAATACCCACAAAGTTGTATACCCACAAACTATCATAAATATTGGTTACCGTTAGATGAACGTACATATCTATTTACTTTTGCAGAATAATATTTAACCAATTTTTGCTCTTCGAAATAGTATAGACTATAGTCATTAACACTTTAGGGTTAAGCTGTTCTGGTCCCAATGTCCCTTAAATAATGCATATCATTTTTTTAAAATTACAATTATTGCTATAGTAAAATATCATTTCTAGGCTACCGATCATACAAAACAGTGGATTTGCTTACATGATTTGTTCTCTGTCCATAATGAACATACCAAAATGGCAGTGCGTAAAAGAAGTGGAACTTTTTTCAATGGGTCCCGAAGCCAGGACTTTAGAATGGCAACTTCGAATTCGAGATCTCCAGGGGTCCATAATCATAATCAGTATTATTCAAATGTTATTAGGATACAGTGGTACGTTTTATGATTACTGTAATTTCTGCTTGTATAGGTACCCTAAATTATTTTAAATCATGTTCATTGGACATTGGTTGGTCAATATATAATAATAGAGTATAGAGAAAACACGACAACACAATAAAATGCATGCGTAGATTAATTACTGTGATTTTATCACAATAACAATACCTATCTATTGGCAATGTGTAGATATAGAATAATATGCGAATAGAATAGAACTAGGAACATTTGTACCTAATGACAGTTTTAGAAATCCCATAAAAGTACAAAATATAATAATATAATTTGATAAATACAATATACATTGCAAATAAAATAGAAACTGTATAAAAAAGATGCCGAGGAATACAAATCTATTTTTAGTTTTCTCATCTCATCACTATCTATTTTCCAGATATAGGAAAACAACCGTTTTCGATTCTCATGCGGTCGGTTTTTTCAGTCAAAACACATAATTTTGATTCCATTGCACAGACCGAACCAGTGATCCGATAAGCAATATAAAAATAGTTTTCAATTCGCCATGAAGTTTACTTATGATCGGTCAGGGACTTTTTTCAATTTTTTATTTTAACTCTTTCCAAATTTTATTTTAAAATTTGAAATTTTGTATAATGTTCAAACGTGTTTTATACATAGTAGGAATAAGATATCAAAAAAGTACCCTGACCGATCATAAGTAAACTTTATGAGAAATTCAAATCTTTTTTCAGATTACTTTCGGATCACTGGTTCAGCCTGTGCGATAGAACACAAAATGGTTTTTACTCATAGACAAAATAATTTAAATTTAAAATAATACCATGAAGCTTATATTAATTGACATGATCGAAATTTATTAAAACCACTTTTTTCTTAAATATTGCTCATACAAAACTCCTTAAAAACCAATCGTATGCAATCCACTTAACATGAAGCTCATATTAATTATTATTAAAGGCTCTTAAAAGCTCTAGATTTGTACCGGGTGGTACGTAGTTCAATTTCCCAGCCAATTTCTTGAATAATTATATATTTTTCTTTTAGCTTTTCCAGCACGAAACGATTTTTATTTTGCAAAATAAAAATATCACCACCCTCCCTAATATTAATTATACTGCTAATAACTTTTAATTTTTAAATTAAACACAATAAGGACGAAGCTATATAACGATAGATCCATGTCGCGTACACCGTAAAATATCTAAAGGACAAATAGTTTTATGTTTAAATGCGAAATAAATGCAGTGGGAAATTAAACCATGAACAATTATTACTGAATTATGAGTTTATGATCTGTCGTTAACTTAAGCGGCATATTAGATATTTATAATTTGGTTGTAATGTTATCAGTTATGTTGTGTTTATTTATTACATTTAATATACGTCCAGGGGTTTCAAACACGCAATATAAGTTACACCATTGTATGATAATATTATGTATACTGTAATATAGATTTGAATATATATATTTATTCAAAATAAAAATAACAAGATGTTAATCAATAACGATATTGACAATTGCATGACGATGTGATGTCCTTGTTTATTATGTTTCAAATCATGAACTAAACCTAAAATGTATAACAAAATTATTGAGTTTATAGACTACAATATATGCATTTATGTATAATGACATCACTAACAAGAACTGATCATAAGAAAACATCTATCATTTTGTCGATAACCTCAGATAAATTGACACTTTAATAGTATAACTAATAATTTTTATGCGTAATGTTCTACTAATTAAAAACTATGGATAAGGCCATAAGGGTTATTTTTAACCGTAATATTATTAATAACAGTTAAAATAGTTCTACTAAATGTATTATTATTGTTTATTTATATTTCGTAGGTTTTGTCGGAAAATCAATGAAGTATATTGGCCCTCTGACTATAGTGCCTACCATGTGCATTGTAGCGCTGACAGTAATTGAAAGAGGAGTGCACCTTATGTCTGGCAACTGGACCACCTCGCTCGTGTAAATGCTTAAAAATGACTTACGCAAATTCCATGTTACCAATCAAAAATCATCGTTGGCTCCTTTTTTTGTTGGGGGAGGAAGGGAGATGTCTTGACTATATATTTTAATAGGTACCCAACTCTTGGGTAACGAAGTTATCACATGCTACATTTAAAAAGTTTAAATCAACCATAGAATATTTGCAAATTAGGTAACGTTTTAATCCCCAGGATTAAATACCCCTTTATAAACGCCCCTGTTTCATAACAGCTGTTAGTTAAAACTAAAAAATCAAACAAGACAAGTACATAAATAAATTCTACATTTTCTTTGATACTTCAATTAAACTGAGGGAATAATTATTATTTATTTATTTTATTATAATGAAATTTTGTATTTGGGAGTAATAATATTACATATTATTAAATTTAGGTTAGCAATATAAAAATAATATATGATTAGATGTAGATCAAAGCAACTAAATCAACTAATAATTAAACCTTAGAACTATGTAAAAATACATAAGTACACTATACTAAGTGTAAATAGATACTATATTAGTCTAGTCAAGACTTGAGTGTATACTGAAGCTCTGTTTTACCATTAACAAAGATTAATTATATAATATATTTTACTTTCATGATGATCTAACGAGTTTAGGTAGTTACGTACACTTTATATACTTCTGTCAGTTCATGGTGATGTATCTTATTTATATATTTTTTATACTATTATAGACAGATCTATGATTTTTTACGGATGTTTTTTGGTAACTGTAAAAAAATAGACATGCAATATTTCGTCAGTTTAATGTTTATAGTATTTCACTACCTATTTTTTTTCCAGAACATTGTTCTTCTTGACGTTGTTTTCCCAGTATTTCCGCGAGATTACTATTTCCATACCAGTTTTGTCGACGGTTAAAGGTCTGGTGTACACAAAGCTGAAGATTTTTTCATTATTTTCGGTACATACAACGACTAAAATATCAAATATTTTAAACTTCTTATTCGGTTATTGTGGTTATCTTATATAGGTGATGTTTAGTGTGGGAATAATGTGGATCGCTTGCATTTACATGACTTCTAAGAACGAATTGCTACCAACAGATCCAGCCAATACAGAAACAAAATCCGGAGTTTTTCACAATGCACAGGTGTTTCGACTACCCTACCCATGTAAATATCGACATTCCATTTACAGCAATCAAATATTTGTTATTTTTCACAAAACTATACCAGATACTAGTTACTACTGTCCATATATAATAATTTATGCTCCCGACTAACTTAAAATTGTTTTAATTACCTACTTCATGAGTAGGCCGTAGCTATAGTTATACCTATACCCCATACTTTGATGGTTTTTAAAAGTTAATGTTTTTACAATATTTTTGCAGTTCAATGGGGATTGCCTTTGTTTAGTATGAGATCGATAATAGCTTTGCTGCCTGCTCTTTTCACCAGCATCGTAGAGTCCATCGGCAACTATTACACATGTGCCAGATTTGCTAGTGAGTGTTCAGACGACGAATAAACAATAAACGATTTAACCGATTAATAATCATTATTCATTACATTGATATTTTGTTGTTGATTTATTAGATCTTACTTTACCCCCATTAAGCGCTATTAATAGAGGTATTGGAGTCCAAGGAATCAGTTCAATTCTCGCAGGTCTACTGGGAACGGGAACTGGTATTAGCGCGTCCAGTGAAAATGTAGGCAATAACGGCATTACCCAGGTACCAGTTTTTTTATTGTTTTTAGTATAGGAAAAACAATTTACCATTTAATTTTTCTACTAAAATAGTATACATTAAAAATATGAATTTATAATATAGGATTTTATTTGTCCTGATTTCTAACAAAATATTATGTTCTCGTTTCTTGAACGTTGGGGTGAAACGTTATTTTTATGAATGTAGCGGTTACAGTTTACACTGGTTTATATCCGGTCATGGCTTGACTAAATTTAAAAGTATTAATCGTTTCTTATAATATAGGATGACTGTTACTTTTCCTGGATCGCTTGAATAGTGGAATAGCATTTAAAAAATTCTATACCGCAGTTTGTGGAGTTCTATTAAAATTTATTTTTTTATTAGAGAACTTGCATTTGGAAGTAAACATTTTATCGAAAAAAACTTGTTTTCAGTTAAATTCGTTTTTCAGGTTTGCAGTAGAATCGTTATTCAGTATGCTGCAGTTATTTTGATTTTCATTGCGCCGTTTACAAAATTAGTAGCATTGCTCATTACACTACCGGATCCAGTTCTGGGTGCATTGATGACGGTGTTACTTGCAATGGTAGCTGCAGTAGGTAAATGCGAACGATTTCATTATTGACAGATATGCACATTGAAAATGTGTTTGAATGATATTCATATTATATTGTAATATATTAATACCCCTTTGTTGTTGCATTTAATTAGGTTTATCTAATCTACAGTTCATAAATCTCAACTCGATGAGAAATCTATACATTTTGAGTATGTCAATGTTCTTTGGATTGGTTAGTACTTAGTATTTCGTGAAAAAAAATAACAATATTAGGTATATTGATGTGAGTTCTATTAACTTTACATGATAATTATATAGGCTGTTCCCAAATACGTTTCGACACATGAAAATCTGATAAATACCAAATTCGAATTATTAAACCAAACCTTGTACGTGTTTATGTCATCCGGTATGTTTATCGGTGGGCTAGTTGCCTTCATAATGGATAACACTATTCCAGGTAAGTCTCATATGGGTTTGTGAACTTAGCAGTTAGCATGATTTTGTATCGGCGATAATAATGTGCCAATAAAATACTTACTACTTATGTATGTATAATACAGGGTATCACGAAAACACTTTACATTTTCAAAAAGGCAAAATAATATTAATTTTTCAAAAAAAAAAAAAAATGGTTTTAATTTATGTAACATATTTGTGGGTGTACGCCATTTATTTTACCGCAATTTTCTTTGGATGATTTGAAAGCGGCAATTCGTACAGATGTGACACTAATCACGAGGGAGACACTAGAATGAGTGTGGAAGAACTGTAAATGTTAAGTGTTTTCGTGGTCACCCTGTATAACAGTGGCTTGGGTTAAGCAAAACCAATCCACCTTTTGTAATTTTTGGTAAATTTGCCTAAAAAGCTATTTTTTTTTTTTATATGGTCCTGTGTTAAGTTAAAATTTTTTTTTGAAAAACGTCATATTTTCTTAATTGTTTTTAATAAGTTACCTAGCTCATTTTTGTCATAAAAGGTCCAATGACCTTTAGAGCCAATGCTCTTCTTGTCTTTTAAAAACCACAAGTTATATTTGTTTAAAAAATTTAATTGTGTACGAATTCGACTGTTTATTCTACAAGTATCATTTATAATATTTATAACTAATTAATTCGTTTTCTCTGATACAGACGACAGTCAAAATAAGTTAAAAACGAATTTATACTACATAAACGAAGATGAAGCAAGTTACAACAACGGTTATGATATCGATGATGAGAAAACGTATAAAATTTCCGAAAGACTATTCGATAGAATTCAAAACTTTTTAACATTTTTCGTATAAGTGTAACATCGTTTTTTTAAAGCTTAACATATTACTTATAATATTTTTTTTGTGTTTGAGTATTAATATGAATACCTACATAATTTTTGTGAGCCATACAAGTATGCTAAAACCTTAGGTGTAATGTCTTTGGTATTCTTTGAAGATTTAAAAATTATCTCTCTATGTTACTATTAATTTTATACTTCTATAACTGTTTTGTGTATTGTTGTAACATTTTGTATTAGTGAAATAAGAGTTAACTATAAATTAATAAATACCATGGAAAATATTACGAACTTTAATATTAAGCTATGTATGTATTTACACTTTCCATTCTATTTTATTTTATGTATATATCTGTATTTAAATTACACATATTTTTAAACTTGATTTTTTTTCGGACTGAAAGTATAATATACATATTTAAGTTATTTATAAATGCATTAAGACTTTTTTTTAATAATCCTTACGTCGTGACCTTAGTTCTTGCCATGAAAATATTTATAACGTCTACAATTTTGAAGTCCACCTAAAAGTTAAATATCTACTCAAAATATGTATGAATAGAATTTATTTAAAATTCAAATATCGCAAGGCCACAGGCTAACCAGCTACGGAATACGGATCTGCACGTCACGCCATCTGGTGGTCCGTGGTCATATCTTAATCATGGAACTTTTTTCAGGGCTCTTATCTAATAGGCGGCCATTTGAGTTTGGCTCCTTCTTGTCTTCATGGGTCTATGGACTATGACGTTTGGAACATGGACGTATGATATAATTTACGTCCGTGGTCCGTGGTTTGGTACTGGCTATCGACAACGTTTGATAAAAGGTGGAATTTAAATCCACCTTGCTTTTGAAGCAGTAATCTTGATTTTTGTGAAACCCGTCATTGCCAGTGTTACCATTTAATACAACATTAAACTGTGTGGGAAATGATAGCGCACTGCGCTAGTAGTTGGCGTTCGTTGAGATAACAACATCGAACGCAACCTCGGTCTCCGGGGCGGTAGCGGCACTATTAGCCGAGCTCCCCTCTCTTTTTTCCGTTCACACAGTATAATATGCTCTGTGTTTCAATCTCACACGTCTCGCCCGGAGTATGAGGTTCGTACATACTTCATAATAGTGTTGGTATTGCCGTCTGCCGAGTGCTGATGCTAGACGGCCAGTACGCCCCGTACGCCACCTTCTCCCATCCGTATTCCGTCGGCCGTCAGTTGTGTTTCGTCGCTAGAGCGCTTGCGTAAATCAGATATTTCTGACAGAGAACGAGCAATAACAATGTGCGCAATTCACTGATAACGCACGACTGTCGTGATCTAGTTTTTTTGGTCATTTTTCTCTAGTTTTTTTTTATCTATTCCGTGTTTGGTTGTTGGTGTTTCGTGAAAACGGTCCACTCAAAAATGTCAAACCGACCGGTTATTTGACAGGATTCGTACATTTCGCGGTACCAAGTCCTAATTCTAGCCACAAGCATACGTCTCTAGCTTTCTCGTTCGCTGCAATATCACCTTCGATCATTGCCGTCCATTCAAATGGATTCTATCCGGAAGTGGTTTTACAAACCTAAAGTGAGTACATGAATAAAACTTTTTTTACCGTAATTCTAGTATTAGTAATCGTCTGCCATCCTGGCTTTGACGTCGGTTATTGGTTACGACCCCTATGACGATTTATCGTACATTGGCTTCCTTCTTGCTGAGTTAATGAGTCTTGACTAAATATTGGATGTTCTCGATGTAACCATTATAACCAATTTTTAATTCTATACCATTTTCTATTCGGACGAATTAATTTACACTTACCTACTTATTTTTATTTGTTTTGACATTTACATTTAGACAGAGAAACCAGTTAATCGTCAACAATGCAAAGGTTAAGTTGTGTGCAATAACATATTTTAATTTAATTTGTTTTCACATGAAATAATGAATGTTTGCTTGAAGATATACTCTTTAAACATCATATTACTTATGTTGATTATATTTTTAACATTATCAACCTTTTATTAGTATTTTTCTGTTGGAAATATTCTTCGACATTGGAGTGTATATTAAATACTTTTAACCAGACACTGGTTAATATAGCTGAATTAATTGCCAAAAAAAAGTTATATTGACACCATTTGTTATACAAACAGGTATTTGATGTTATAGGAATTCAAGTATAAATACTAAATAGTTGGTGTCAGGCTGAACTTGATTTGGAATTAAACTGCTTCAGATATCAGATGAATAACTATATAAATTGGATTAATATTGGATTAAATAGTATTAAAAAAATTAATATTTCAGTATTTATTGAACAGAAAAAAAATGTATAATAATTATATATTCGATAATAATACACTTAATTATATTTTTATATTAATTAAAGGATGTGTACACTAGCGTTACTAGTGACTAAAGTGCCCAGGAGCAAGACTTTTTTACAAATAGTCAGTAGATCCAAAATTGTATACCTAAGGTATTTTTTACAAGACCAAAAGTTAACTTCTTTCCCTTAAGAAACAAGAAAAATACCCTAAAAAGTTTTTAGAAATAATTCCTAATTTCATAAAGTTCTATCAATCTCTAGTTAACTCTTTCCGAGTTAACTAAACAAATATTATCTATTCTTAAACGGGTGTATACATTTTACTGTTTAAGACTTGGTTGTACAACTTGTGTTGCCTATACATTTAAAATATATTTTCTGAAAATTGGTATGTAGGTTTTATTTAGCTCATGTGTCTTGTATGAAGGGTCATTGCTGCCTCCTACAAAGAGGAGGTATCTAATCCTTTTTTGGTATAGGCCATTTAGTCTGGCAGCCATAAGGAGGATAGAGACTTAATTTCATTGGATAATTTCTTACTTAGTAAACAAAGCCATAACTAAATTTATTTAAATAGTGTGTATCAATGAAATGTAGTAAATATTACAGATAAAGCTACAGGGTGTGAAGGACATCACTTTTATCCGGATATCATTTTAGTTTTTAATCTTAAGAGTTCACTAAGTACCATTAGTGGATTTCTAATCTTTAGATTTGTTATGAAGTAATTAAATTGATCCAGTGGTTTAAAAAAGTGGGTGCAAGTATCCACTCCATAAGTACTATAAAACAAATGTTGTGTAACTAATATCTTCTCAGCTCCACAATATTATCAATTTATTTTTAGATATAGATGGATAAAGTACAAATTTATTAATTGTAAACATTTTATTTGTAATAACTGTATTCAATAAATGTGTTTAGTAAATGGTTTTAAGGATTTAAAAAAACTTATTTATATGTTATATAAATATCAGGTGACAATTAGTTTTTAACTTCCAAGTTTTTATGGGGGGAAAAAAATATGTAAAAATCAATATTTCCTCAGCTTCGTATCTGATCTAAATTATATAGATAAGTTATGTAAAAAAAAAAACAACTTCATTAATTATACTTTACCAATTAAATACTGATTTATTTGCATTTTACATTGTTTTTAGGAAAAAATGGGCTTCTTTTATTGTATTGTCATAACATTTGGCAATCATTTTATTTTTTTCTAATTTTGAGCTCATGAATTTTTAGTTAAGCAAAAATTGTTAATTACCCCGGTATTAAATAATTAACAATAAAGCCTGGTGTCTTGCATACATAATACACATATAGCATTAATATACGTGTGATAAGAGCAACAAAAACCGCGTGTATTTCTTCTTTGTTCATTCTGTTATGAAATTCTTATTTCGTTAATTATTATATTGAGTTATGACTTATGATTGTTTGGATTTTGGGATTCATTGACTTTGTGATCATCCGTGAAATTCTAGTGGTTAAATTTACCTAAAAAGTAAATTATCGTATATTATGTAAGTTGTTATTGTTGTTTTGTACAGATACAAATAAGCGATTATTATTATTGGTACGATCAAGGTTAATCCGGAGCTGATAATGAGATTATTATTGTGTTCCTACTCTTAGTGATTCGGGTTAGAGACGCGGAAGGTTGCGAAGGTTAAAACAATAATAATCTTTGCAAAAAATATCGCTTAAACTCAATTTGGAGATGTTTGTTGGGAGAAGTAGTTTTAATAGGGTTTATTTGTCGATTATACATTTATATACCTAAGCCTATAGTTGAAAATTGAAAGTTGTTCATGATCTGTCTTATCTATATAGGTGTTACTTTGTAAATGAAAGTTTCCTTCCTTATGTTTTATTTAGTACACTACTGTAGAGAAATTGTTCGTATTTACAATAAAATTACGTTTTTGTCGTGGTACCGTTTCTGTACACCAAAAGGTGTCGTAGAACTTGGACAAATTGCAGACTATAAATTCTGTGGTGTGTGGGAGAAATTAAAAAGTCAAAAATTAAGTGTTTTAATATGTATGATAAGAGAAGTTGACCATTTTCTTAACTCCGTTATGAATTCTTTGTAGGCTATTATGAGTTGTTTATTAATACGAAATTGTTTAATTGTACGCTTTTGGTGTATTAAACTAAAAATAAAAATTCCTTAAAAAGTCTAATCAGATTATGGTTGTCAAACGCATTTTATATTTTTTATATTCTATGTTTTATTTATCTAGGCTGATTATAATGTATAATAATAATATATGATTTTTTATTTATTGTATATTAAAAACCTAGAACTAGGGTACTACGCCAAATGGTTTGTTTTAACCTCATTTAAAATGTATAAGCTCTTAATAAGTGTTTCTTTTTTATCGTTGATAAACTAACGACAAGACACATTAATAACTAATCACTACAGAATTGAGGCTTTATGATCATTAATTATAAGTATTGATTTGTAGCTTCGTATTGTGAAGCAATTGTTTAAGAAAGGAAATTTTATACTACACTTTATTAAACAACTACTACATTGTTTTTAAATATAGAAAATTAAATAGTTAGATTTATAAATTATGTTTTATATCTGATTTTTTATTATTTCTGTTTTCTTGTCTATCACGTTATTTATGTTGAAATTAAAGCTCTTAGGTTAGATTTCTTTAATATTATTGTTCAATAAATTGTCTAATAATTATTAAAAAAATGTTGACATTACATTACATTACATTTTATGTATACGGATGTTCATTTTATGTTCACTTAATTTAGTCACCTTTACGTCACCTTTAGTAGACATATGAATTGTGCATCATATTATGATGGAATGCCCGGTTAATAGTATCGGTGCAACCCAAACGGCTCCCGTCGAAAAAGGTTTCACGAGTAAGTAATTCCCAAACGGCTCCGGTATTCTGTACTAAGCGTATATTATCAAGTCTCTTTAAATTTTCAAAAAAACTTTAACTTAAATTTAAACCTGTAACCTCCTCCTAGACTGTAGCCTACAAACCTAGGATATTTTTAGTTAGCGGAGCGAAGCGATGGCGCCGAGCGAGCGAGTACCAAAACACTCGGAGACCTGCCGTCCTTATCAGTTATCAATACGAATTCCGAATTTGGTAAAAGTAGCAAACTCTATTAAATCTATTAAAATTTTAGAAAAATGATAGAGCATTTTTCGTTTTCTTTCTATAAAAAACTCGCTGACGAGAAGGAATTTGTGTTGAAAAAAACGGGAGCCGAATGGGCTACGTCCAATAATACTTAATACTTAATAATAATACTTTGAAACTTCTTTATTACGTTAAAAATATTTAGTTTTGCATTGTATATAGTATAATTATTGCAATTGTTTTTTAATTTATTATAATTATCTCACATTTTATGGTTTTATTACAGTTGTTATAGCCTTAATAATTTACATACGTTGCTCTAACAAATTGTTTATACTGTATAAAATATAAATAAATAACTATGTACTATTGTATTATTAATATAATTAGTTGGAATATAGAAATACTGGTTCTCGGCCGGTTTGTTGAACTAATAATACTATGTATAAGTAATAAAATAACCTATATATTATATAAGTATTCTTTTAAATTAAGAATCTATTTCATTATTCTTCTTAATAAGACTCTATAAAATTATAATGTATGAAGTTAGTATTTATTTTTAGAAATAAAAATTGTTTAAGTATTATAATCTACACTATAAAAAAATTGCTAAAAGTAATGGAACAATAACTGTATTTGAAACGGAGATTTTCTATGCTCGTAATTAACTTTCATTATTATGAGAATATTTTCCACGTTGTGAAAATACCCACACAGCACACTATATTCATTAGATACTCGTTTTCTCTATAGTTTTTTTGCGTTTAAAAATGATTTGAGAAAATGTATAAAATTGTAAATAAATTTAATGTTAAATTCGGCGGGGAGGAATAAAAAACAAATCATTATTTTGACATTGCGTAAGATTTTCTCATCATTTGCCTTTTGTAATGGTAACTTCCTAAATTTGTAGCCAATGCCATTTTATTTATGTGTTACAAAAAGTAATAATTTAACAAGCATTAAATAAGAAAAATGTGAACTATCGAATTATAATAAGTATAATGCTTGAATTTTAAAATACTTCAAAAACGAATTTTTAACGTTACTGCGCCTATGTGTTTTCCATCCGGATGATTATCATATAGTAAAACAAGAATGCAAAAATATGAGGGTATAGAAAT